GATCGAAGCTCGCAGATGGCAACAGAGTCTCCTAGCGACACCCCCAGCTCGTCCTTCCCCAACTGTACTCGGGGGGGCGACTCGGAGGAGTCAGTCATACGGCGAAGGAGAAGGAATGGAGAAGGAATGGAGGAGGAGGGGGAGGAGGAGGAGGAGGAGGAGGAGGAGGAGGAGGAGGAGGAGGAGGAAGGGGGCAGCCAGATCGGGAGCGGACGAAGGATGAGGGGGGCAAGGACGCGGTCAGTAACGAGTAAACAGGCTCGACTGGGCGTGGGGGACTGAATGGAGGGACGGGAGGCGGCACATCGCAGAGGCAGCTCAGTAGCCCGCTGGGATAGAGTGAGGAGAGCGAGGACGACGAGGGCAAGCAGGAAGATGAGCGGGATGATCATGAGGGGGAGGTGGAGGACGAGCAGGGAATACTTTGAGGAGGAGCGGGAGGAGGACGACGAAAATAACAAGGAGGACGCGGATGTCGAAGAGGAGGCCTGCGATAATGAGGACGAAAAAGGCGAGGATGAGAACGAGGATGAGGAGGACGAGGACGAGGACGAGGACGAGGAGGACGAGAAGGAGGAGGGGCAGGTCGGGGACGAGACAGACGAGGAGCAGCAGCAGGAGTACATAGCTGCAGGCGAGGTATCAGCCGATCATTTTGTCGGCCGTCCCCGAAACCATCGAAGAGACGTCAACGTCCCTTCTTCCTCCTCCCCTCGTGGCCCATGTCAATCTGGTCGATCCGCCTCGACTGCTCGATGCCGGGCGGCTCCATCCGATTCGATCTCGATTGTGCGACGATGCGATGTGGCCCGATGCTGGCAGGGCGTTGTTGCACATCTTGGCGCCAGTCGATCCGTACAATTCGTGCTTCTTGGGGGCCTCTCGGAGGCCGTCTTGGATCCCTCTTGAGGCATCTTCGAGGCCCCTTGTGCAGTCTTGAGCCTGTCTTGGTCGTCTTCGAGGACTCTTGTGCGTAGATCGAGTCTTAGGCATCTTGGAGGCCACAGGGTGCAGCAATGGAGGCTCTGGAGGGCCTGGGGGAGCGTTGGTAAGCTCCGTGCCGTGCCGATGCGTCCCAGGCAGAGGCAGGTACGGATATCCGGCCCCACTTCTCCTCAGTCGGTGCCGACGGATGCTGCTCGAAGGCGCCTCCCTCTTCGGAGGAAGGGAGGGTGGGATGGAGGGAAGAGGGAGGCAGGGAGGGAGGAGGAGGAGGAGGAGGAGGAGGAGGAGGAGGAGGAGGAGGAGGGGGAGGGGGAGGGGGGAGGGTGAGCAGGAGGAGGTGGACGAGGAGGGGAGGGGCAAGAGGAGGGGGAGGCGGGAGGAGCGGAGAAGGAGGAGGAGGAGGAGGAGGAGGCGGATGAAAAGGGAGGAGGAGGAGGAGGAGGAGGAGGAGGAGGAGGAGGAGTGGGAGGGGCGCTCCTCCCTCCTCCCTTCCTGCCTCCATCCCACCTGCCTCTTCCCTTCCCACCCACCCCTCCTGATTGAGGAGGGCCACCGCCTCGCCCGAGCGCCTCCCCCGTCGAGGCATCGGCGGGCAGCTCAACGTCACCGAGGGCATGGAGAAGCTGGCAGACGCCCTGCAGCTCAACAGGGTGGCGGAGGCGCCGCGGGCCCCTGCCCCTGTCCCGGAGGAGGGGCGAGTTGGCGCGGAGGCGCGGGGGAGAGGAGGCGGCGGGGCGAGGGCGAGGGGTAGGAGGAGGAGGAGGAGGAGGAGGAGGAGGAGGAGGAGGAGGAGGAGGAGGAGGAGGAGGAGGAGGAGGAGGAGGAGGAGGAGGAGGAGGGAGGAGAGGAGGAGGAGAGGAGGAGGAGGAGGAGGAGGAGGAGGAGGAGGAGGAGAGAGGAGGAGGAGCCAGCAGCAGCAGCAGAGGAGGAGGAGGAGGAGGAGGAGGGAGGAGGAGGAGGGGGGGTGAGGGGGGCCTTTCTGAGATGGCTGGGCAGTCATCGTGGAGAAAAAGAAGGTGTGCGGGGCATATGTGGGGTTTCCTCGGCAGGCAGGGGGGGGGGGCTCGGTGGACCCCCCCCTGGGCTTTCCGAGAGGGCCCCGGCCTCACCTCGCCCTTTTTTGTTGTGTCTTGCGCCGCCAGGTGGGGCAGAGTAGCAGATGGAGGGGCTCGGGGGCAACGGCGCATCGGAAACGGACAGTTGGAGGGGGGTGGCAAGGAGGAAGAGGAGGAGGAGGAGGAGGAGGAGGAGGAGGGGGGAGGAGGAGGGAGGAGGAGGAGGAGGAGGAGGAGGAGGAGGAGGAGGAGGAGGAGGAGGACGTGGAGGAGGAGGAGGAGGAGGAGGAGAGGAGAGAAGGAGGAGGAGGAGGAGGAGGAGGAGGACGAGGAGGAGGAGGAGGAGGGGGAGGAGGAGTTGGAGGAGGATGAGGAGGAGGGGGAGGAGGAGGAGGAGGAGGAGGAGGAGGAGGAGGAGGAGGAGCAGGAAGAGAGCACGAGCCCTGGAGGGGCACCCCAGTAAGTGGGGTGTCGGGCCAAGACGTCCCCTAACGGAGGCGTGGACCGTCTGGCCTTCGGGGTAAAAGCCTCCGCGCTGAGACGGCCCCCGAAGCGATGTCAGCTTCCCAGGGGTCCTTAGCCACGCAGCACCACGGGAGCCTGGCATCCCAGCAAGGTGTTCTCCGTGGGAGTCGTGACCAAGGGGCTCGTCTGCTCCCCCCTCCGCCATCGCTGTCGCTGTCGCTTCGTCTCCGGTCGGGCCCCATTTTGGGGTGGGCCCCTTGGTGTGCCTAAGAAGCGTTCCCGTCCTCCCCCTGCACTTTCGCCTACCCAAGCCGCGCGTAAGCGGGGCCGCGTGCGGTTTGATGTGGCGCTGGCAGCTGGGGGGGACCGGGCGACGACGGTATAACCAGGGCGTGGCCTGGCCCCGCGCCCGCGGCGCGGCCGGGCGCGCCCGCGCGCGCGGGCGCGCGGGGGTCGCCGCTCGCCGTGCCCGTTCGGTGGGAACTCACGGAGTTCTCCCGAAGAAGAAGAGGCGGAACTAATGCTACAAGTGTAGCGCTTGAAGTTTACCTAACATCTCAGGAAGAGGAGGAGAAGGAGGAGGTCATGGCGGGCGGCTGGGGCGGCGCGGGCGGCGCGGTGTCTTGCAGGGTCGTCGTGGAACCCGTCCAGAGGATGATATCGGACGCCCGCGGATAGGGAGCCGGGCCGCGTGGAGGAGGAGTCGGAGATACGTGCTGGAACGGCTTGGGGACGTCTGCGTATCAGAACGGCTTGAGGTTGTTGCCGCGTTTCATCACGTGAGGGAGCATGAGGAGGGGGAGGCTGGGCGATGGGCGAGGATGCTGCTGGATGGTGGTGTCGATGATTGTGATTGTGGTGGTGCGGGTACGTTGGTGGCGTTGAGCATGACAGTGCTGATGACGATGATGGTTGTAGTGATCCGGGGTGGTGGTGGTGATGGTGGACACGGTGGTGGTGATGCTGCTGTTCATGGCGATGGTGATAACGATGGTGATCGTGGTGTCGCTGATGTTGCGGAGGAGGAGAAGGATGAAAATGATGAGGACGAGGAGGAACAGTAGGATGGCATCGACGCGCTGGTATATTTCGGTTCCCGCGCCGAGCGGCGGACTGCGAGGTCTGAGGTACGAGCGTGACCAGCGGTTCCGGTCCCGAGGCCTCAGTTGTCATGCGATCGTTGGAGCAGCCGCGGGAGAGGGAGACAGAGTGTGAGAGAGAGAGAGAGAGAAAGAGCGGCACCAACAAAAATAGAGAGAAAGAGGGAAAGAGCACACGAACATACGGACGAATGAGGAACACGGGTGGGACGGCAATCTAGGACACGCTTGCGTTTGCCGCGCGGCTGTCCCGCCGTCCACGGTGGTTGGCGCCTTTTCCTGCGGCGACTGGAAGCCTCATCCGCCAACGTCTCGCCATGCTTGTTTGCCTGGCCGCAATTCGGGCCCGAGAGACGGCGCTGATCAGACAATGTGTCGCCATGGTGGTTCCACTCCGCTCTTGGACGGGCGCCACTCGCGGCGTAAAGCTTGCTGTTGCCTTTGGCGTGGGAGTTGCTTCTAATGTGTGTCTTTTTTTCGATGAGGGAGGGCAGCGAGGCCGGTTGTGCTGCCCGCCCCCCCCCTCCCCCGTAACCCCGTAAATAATACTGCGCATGTCCTGTTGGCTGGGCTGATGGGAAACTGATGTTTTGAGCGTCTGGCTTTGCCCCGCATTCGGAAGTGTTCGCGGACGGGCTCGGGTTCGCTGCTATACCAGGCGGGAGGTTGACAGGAAGAGCGACCGCAAGAATTTTGACCAAAAGGGTCGCCTCTTGCCCTCCCCTCCCCCCCCGCCCCCCCATGCAGATGTGGCGGGAGCTGGCATACCCCTCGCTGAAGCCCCTGGGCATGTGGTTCGCGGACCTGCTCAAGCGCGCGGACCAGTTGGTTCATTGGACAGCCAGGGCCTCCCCCTGATATTCGTAGATTCGTTATCGGCTTGGGTGTATCTGGTCTGACCCGCATGATCTCACTATCGTATATCCACATGGCTCTTGATCTCAGAGCCTCGCAGACTCAGGTCACAACATCCCCTGCACTAAATCCCCTCTTTCCGTGGTTTATTTTGGCATGTGCAGGGTATGGGCTTGACAAGCGAAGACATCACATCCGGATGCGTACAACGTCGCCAGCTTTCTGCCAGTGTTGGTGCTTATCAGGTTCCGCTCTGACAGAGCGGCTTGACCATACGACCATACTGGAGGAGGACGATTAAGCAAAGGAGGACAGGATCATCTCTGTGCAACTATAGTAGTGGCATTCGGTCCATCCCGCCACCATGCCTCGGTCGTGGACAGAAGGCCGATTGGATTACTCTTGGGGTCTCTTGGTGAGCCTCTCGGGCGCAACCTGGTGGGCCTCTTCAGGTCCTCTTGGGGGCTGCCTCAGGATCTCTTGGGGCCTCTGTGGGGCCTGATGCTTGTATCGGGGGCCCTCTCTGGGCGGAGTACTCGAGGTGACAGTTCGTGTTTGGGGGCCTTCTTGGGGGCCTTGATGGGCCTCTTGAGCGGACCGCATGCGAGTTCCGCCACTGGGACCTCCAGTGGAGCTCCCTATGGGGCAACGAAACGCTACACTGGGCGAGGGAACCGCATGCGAGTTCGGCCACTGGGACCTCCGGTGGAACTCCCTGTGGGGCCACGAAGCGCTGCACTGGGCGCAGGAACTGCATGCGAGTTCCGCCACTGGTACCTTCGGTGGAGCTCCTTAGGGGGCCACGAAACGCTGCAATGGGCGCAGGAACCGCATGCGAGTTCCGCCACAGGGGCCTTCTCCTTATGGCCAGGGCCACGAAACGCTGCACTGGGCGCAGGCACCGCATGCAACTTCCGCCAGCGGAACCTTCGTGGAGCTCATTAAGGGGCCACGAAACGCTGTACTGGGGCGCAGGAACCGCGTGCGAGTTCCACCATTGGGACCTCCAGTGGACCTCCCCATGGGATCTTGACACGTTGCACTGGGCGCAAGAAACGCATGCGAGTTCCGCAACTGGGAATTTCGGTGGAGCTCCCTGAGGGGATACGAAGCGCTGTACTGGGGCGCAGGAACCGCGTGCGAGTTCCACCATTGGGACCTCCAGTGGACCTCCCCATGGGGCCTTGAAAGGTTGCATTCGGCGCAAGAAACGCATGCGAGTTCCGCAACTGGGAATTTCGGTGGAGCTCCCTGAGGGGCCACGAAACGCTGTACTGGGCGCAGGAACCGCATGCGATTTCCGCCAGTGAGACCTTCGGCGGAGCTCCTTATGCGGCAACGAAACGCTGTGTTGGGCGCAGGAACCGCATGCGAGCTCCGCCACTGGGACCTTCGGTGTAGCTTCCTATGGGGCCACGAAGCGTTGTACTGGGCGAGGGAACCGCATGCGAGTTCGGCCACTGGGACCTCCGGTGGAACTCCCTGTGGGGCCACGAAGCGCTGCACTGGGCGCAAGAACTGCATGCGAGTTCCGCCACTGGGACCTTCGGTGGAGCTCCTTAGGGGGCCACGAAGCGCTGTGCTGGGCGCAGGAGCCGCATGCGAGTTCCGCCAGTGGGACCGTCGGTGGAGCTCCGTATGGGGCCACGAAGCGCTGTGGTGGGCGCAGGAACCGCACGCGAGTTCCGCTACTGAGACCTTCGGTGGAGCACTAGAGACGATGATGATGATGCTAGAGATGCGGTGGTAGAGACGCATTGATGATGACGATGATGATGATGCTGCTGATGATGATGAGGATGATGCTGATGCTGATGCTGATGCTGACGTTGATGGATGTTGATGCTGATGCTGATGATGATTCTGATGATGATGACGATGACGAAGACGATGACGATGATGATGAGGAGGAGGAGGACGAGGCTGACGATGAGGATGAAGATGTTGATGCAGATGCTGATGAGGACGATGCTGCCGCTGATGATGATGATGATGCTGACGATGATGGTGATGATGATGATGATGATGATGATGATGATGATTATGATGATGGTGATGATGATAATGCTGCTGATGATGATGATGATGATGATGATGATGATGATGATGGTGATGGTGATGGTGATGGTGATGGTGATGGTGATGGTGATGGTGATGGTAATGCAGATGATGATGGGAATAGGGAGGATGGGGAGGAGGAAGAGAGGAGAGGAGAGGACAGGAGTGGACAGGAGGAACGCGTGGCACAGTCTCTTTAAAACGAGGGCCCAATAACACAGGATGGTTGGGAATGAGACGATCAGTGAGTTTTGGGTGGGGGGGAGTGCACACGTAGATATCAATGTTTATGTATATGTATGTAGATGTATATTTATATGTACTGGTATGTGTATGTGTATATGTGTGTGAGTACTACAGTACAAGACTGCATTGGCGCTTCGCGCCATGCACCGTTGTCCTTGAAGTTTTGCGTGCAGGCTGAAGTCGCGGCGGACAGGCAGGAAGATAAAGCAGAAACTACAGCGATAACTCCTCGTTGTCTTGTCCGACATCGTCGTCATGATGATGCCATTCGTTATCCTTCCCTCATGTTTCCTCTTCCTCTTCCTCATTCTCGCTCTCCCGTGCGAATTCTTCCCCATCCTCCTTTGCTCTTTTTGCGGCGGCTCCTCTTTGAAGAGCTTCTTGGGGTCCGCGCGAAATTTTCACATGGCTTTCTGAAGATTTGTGGAGGCCTCCTGGGCGCTTTCGGGGGGCCTCTGGGGGCTTCCTCGGGCCACCCTGCTTTCAACTGCGGTCTCCCCGAACGACCGGGTCCGCGTCTTGGGGCCATCTTGGGCCGTCATTGGGCTCTCTTCGGGCCATCTTGGGGCCCTGTTGGGCTGTTTTGGAGGTCACCTGGACTGTCTGGAAGCCCTTTCGGATAGTTTTGGCATGAGTGTCGGGCCTCTTGGGCGGTCTTGGACGCCTGGAAGACCGAAGAACAGAGCATTTCCCAAATCATTCAAACGCCATTGTGAATCAATGTTTATCAACTCCCCCCCATACACGGGAACCCTGGATTCCTGGCCCCGGGCGCCCCCTGGACGCATTTGCAGAATGTTTCCCGGGCGTTGGGGAGCTCCTGGGGACCCATGCTGGGCCCAGGCAGCGGACCCAAATCTGTCAGAAGGGCGGCCGACCAGCCCCCCGAGGCCCCATGAGGCCCCAAACACCCACCAGACGCCGAAGACGACCCAACAAGCACCCCCGAAGCGCATCGGTGGCAGAAATGCGAGAGCACAAACATCATGATGTCCCCTTCGGTTTTGAACTGATTTTGGCCTCTCGAGGGCTTTCCTGGAGCTCTTGGGGACCCTTGGAGGCCTCTTGGGGCGATCTTGGGTGCTCTTGGGGGCCTCCAGAGCCAACTTCAAAAGGGAATTCCCTCAATCCTTTTTTTCCTTCAAGGTCGATCCCCCCCTCCGTTCCCTCCTGTCCCAGGCTTTGGCGTGCCCCAGAGTGCGTTTGCGGATTCCCCATCTCTCCTCGTCAGTTCTTCTTGCTCTCCCTCTACTGCTCGTGGTTTTCCTCCGTCTTCCCTTCAAAATCCTTCTCCTTCCTCTCCGCCTCCCTCCTCCCTGCTGCGTCATTTCCCCGTCTCCCCTTCACGCCTTCCTCTTTCCGCCTCCCTCATGCGTTTCCGTCTCCCCTCTGACCTTTCATCCTCATCTCTCCTTCATTCCTTCCTCCCTCCGCCGCCCTCGTCCAGCATCTTGCTCCCCAGCCTGAAAAACATTGGATTCCCTCACATCCCGTTTTGTTCAGGGTCTACCCCCCTCGTTTTCCTCATGTCCCAGGCGTCGGCGTGCCCCCGAGTGCGTTTCCGTCTTCCCCATCCCTCGCTGCCCGTTCTCCGTGCTCTCTCTCTCTCTCTCTCTTCTCTCTCTCTCTCTCTATCCTGTTCTTGGTTCTCATCCGTCTCCAGTTCCATATCCTTTTCTTTTCTGTCCTTCCTCCCCCCCGCTGCGTCTGTTTCCCTCTCGCCTCTCCTTCACCCCTTCCTCTTTCCGCCTCCCTCGTGCGTTTCCGTCTGCCCCACCCCTCGCTGTTCGTTCTCTATGATACTCCAGATTTCGTAATAAAGGGAGGGGGGTCTCATTTCGGGGGGGTCTCTTCCAGGCTATCTTGGCGGGCCTGGGGGGGTCTGGGGACGATGTTTTGGAGGGTTCTCCCACGGGGGAGGTCTGAAATGGCTTGTCTTGGAGGGTCCAGACCCCCTCGCTTTTATTACGAAATCTGGAGCACCTTTTTGCTCGTGGTTCTCCTGCGTCTCTTGTTCCACGTCCTTCCCCTTCCGCTCCCACAGCCCCTCCTCCCTGCTGCGTCCTTTTCCCCCCTTCCCTCCCCCTCGTTTCCCCTGCACGCTCGGATTCTCCACGATGCTGTTGTCCTCCCGAGGGCTCCCCAGGGAGCCGCGCGCTCCCGCGCGCGCGGGTTCTTCCTCGAGCTCCCGGCTTCGCGAGCGAATCGCGGCGGATGCTCTTTCGCAGTCTCGCCGTTTCGGGGTCCATCTTCGGGCCCCTTGGAGGCCCCTTGGGGCGACCCAGGGGTGCTCTTGGGGGCCCCCAGAGCCAACGCTAGCACGGAGTTCCCTCAAGCTCCTTTTTTCTGCCAAGGCCGACCCCCACCCCACTCGGTTCCTCCTGTCCCAGGCTTTGGCGTGCCCCTGAGCGCGTTTCCGTTGTCCTCATCCCTCGGTGTCCGTTCTCCTTGATCTCTTTACCTTGCTTTTGGTTCGCCGTCTCCTGTTCCACATCCTTCTCCGTCCTCCTCGTTGCCTCCCGCTGCGTCATTGTCCCTCCTCCCTCCTCCAAGTTTTCTCCTTCACGCCTTCCTCCCTCCGCCTCCCTCATGCTTTTTCGGCTTTCCAACGCTCCAAGACGGCCCGAGAGGTCCCCAAGACAGCACCAAGGCAGCCCAAACGGTCCCCGCGATGGCCCGGATTCGACCCCAGAGAGCGCCAAGACGGCCCAAGATGCCGCCAAGACGGCCCAAGAGGCACTCAAGACGGTCCCAAGACAGGGGCAAGACCGAGAATCCACACCGACACTTCGAGCTCAGACGCCAAGAGCCCCAGGGAGGCCCCCGAGGCGCCCCCAAAACGTCCCAAGAGGCCACCAGGAGGCCCCCAACAAAAACTGGAGAGACCCACCCCCCAGAAACGCCCACGAGCCCTCCAACAACGTCCCCAGCAGGCGTCCAAAGAGATTCCCAGCATGGTGTTGCCAGGCTCTCAGGGGCTCTCGGGCATCCCCTTCGGCTGCCATGGGTCCTCCTCGTGGCTGCCTTGCGCGACTTATGTGAGCCTTATTCAGCGACTCCTGAAACGTCCATCAGGAATTGCGTTCCCATATGGTGATCTTTGCGGGATGATGTCCATCTTCATCCGATCTTGTGAGGTTGGCTTGGGCTGCGCTCGAACCTGAGCGCGCGCGAAGCGCGCGCGCGTGGTTGTAGCACAAATAAGCAGAACATGCAGATCTCTGATTATACATACATATCTATATATAGATGTGTGTTCATATAGCTGCGTACAAGTGTGTATGTATGCAAAGGAGCGGCCTTCCTCGTTTTTGGCGGTCTGGAGGCCTTCTCGCGCACAGCCCGCTTCGTGGCCGGACCTGGCAGAGGCCCCGGGATCGCCTCACGAGGCCCCCCGCGGCGGCCCCGGGGGCCCCCGCAGCGCTCTCCAGGCGGCCCCGCGAGCGAGCCCCCGGGAGGAGCCCCACGACGCCCGCGGGGGGCTGTCGCTTCCGCCGCGGCGGCCCGCGCCACGGCGGGGCCCGCGAGCGCGCGCCCCGGACGGCGCACGAGGCTCCCAGGAGGACCACGAGAGGCCCCAGGTCACCTCCTCCTCCTCCTCCTCCTCCTCATCCTTCTCCTCCTCCTCCTCCTTCTCCCCCTCCCCCTCCTCCAAACCACCCCAACCCAACCCGAAGGCTCAGCTTTGCCCTCGATTTTCAGTGGGGGGGGTCGGGAAACATTGAAAAAACACGTGGGAGGGCCCCCGGGTGCTGCAAGCTACCAGTTTGAAGCATGACCCCATAGCCCTATGTTTGACATCACCTCACCTCGACGCCGATCTTAAGGAGTCCCTCAGTTTCTGAGGGCCTATCCCGAAGTTTCTGAGGCCCCAGGCCACTACCCACCAAACCACCCCAACCCAACCCGAAGGCTCAGATTTGCCCCCCGATTTCCGGTGGGGGGGTCGGGAAACATTGACAAAAACACGCGCGGAGCCCTTACCCCCCCCCCCAACCCGGAATTCGGGTCTTCGGGTTGGGTTGGGGTGGTCTGGTAGGTAGTCACCAGGAGGGCCCCCCGGGTGCTGCAAGGAGCCCCCACGGACCTCCCGCGGGGCCGTTTTGGGGCCCCCTCCGGCCCCTCTTCTGGGGCCCTCCCTGGCGGCGTCGGTGCCGCCTTGGGGGGCTTGGGGCGGGCAGGCCGCGGGCACGCCGACATCGTGACATCATCCGGGGGCGTGCTGGGGACCTCTCGAGAACCGCCTCGGGCAATGTCCGGTGGGGCCACTCTCGTGGGCCTCTCGGAGGCCTCCTGGGGTCTCTCTGGGGGGGGCCTCTCGAGCGGCCTCCTTGGGGGCCTCCTGGGGGCACCGCAGGCGGGCCGTGCACCGCTGGCCAGCGTGCGCAGCGCTCGTCGTCGAGGCCCGTGGGCATCACGGCAGCACAGCTCGCGAGGGCCCCACGGGTGGCCGTTGCCCCGGGCACAGATTCGCCACGGCTGCCAGGCAGGCCGTGCCCAGCTGGCCAGCACGCAACATCACCCATCGGTCGTTGGAAGGAGGTCTTCTGGACTCCCAGATCCCAATCAACTTCAAGCGCTTGTCTTCTTCAAGAATCGATGCAGTCGGGGCGTTGACCTGAGGATCCCTAGATAAGGAACGAGGCCCCTCTCTTCCATAAGTTGAACTTAGATTTCCCATACAAAAACCTAAGGGAAACCCGAGGCAAACTGTAAAACAATCAAGGAATACCGAGCCCCTCCCCAACGAAAAGCGTTCCTTCTTCAAGGCCCCGACTGTATGCTTCTGCTGTGCTTGGCTATATTATCGGAGGGCCTCTACCCAATCTACTTGATCCGCCTTCCTACTTCATGTTCTGACCTTGTTTTCCCGACCGCCGTGTGGTTGTCGAAACCCGTTGGTATGATCGCACAGCTCGTTAGGTCCAAAAGGTGGCCAGGCCACCGGCACACTCGCCACTGCTGCCCGTCCTGAGTCCGATGAGGGTGGCGGTTGTGGTACAGGTCGGGCCGAGCTATCAGATCGAGGTCGGTTCGGGGAGGGTGCCCTAATGTTCGTCGTGTGTCGTGGGAGGTCTGTGCATCTTGGGGAGGGTACCCCGGGATCTTCTGTGTGTGTCTTGGCCAGCAAATGTCGGGGGTGGACAGAACCCCCAACAGTGACACGTCGATTAGTGAATTGTCCGTTTTCGGTTCTCGAGAGGGCGCCGTGGCCGTTCTGTTCCAGGCTTGCGCCCGCCAGGTTTGGGCCTCAGGTCGTTTTCACTAAGCCACGTTTTACTAAAGGGGGGTCTGTCCATCCCCGAAAATGGTCTCGTGTCCTTGACGGGTGTATTCTGGCCCAGGTCCGACTGTATAGCACAGCTCCCTGGGCCCCTCAGGTGGCCAGGCCAATGGCACGCTCGCCACCGCTGCCCGCCGTGAGTCCGACGAGAGTGGCGGTGGAGATGATGACTGGCACCCTGACCTCCCAGGAGGGCTAAAACATAGCACCCGACCTAAAGACCTATCCCAGAGCTGTTCTACGTCTTGGTTTTAGGCTGTTTCGCTCCGCTTTTTAGGATTTTTGGTCTCCAGTGCTTAAAAAATAGCTCTCTGGAAGGTCAGGGCAGTCCATAGCTCAGTGGGCCCCGGAAACGGCAGGGCCGCTTTTTTCACAGTTTCCAGAAACATGTCCCTTGGAAATGGAAACGGCAAAAACGGCGACCGGAAACGGCAAAAAAAAGGATCCAGGATTGGAGCCGGAGCCGGAGCCGGTCAAAAAACGGCGACGGAACCGGTAAAAAACGGCGCCTGAACCGGCGAAAAACGGCAAAAAACGGAACCGGTAACAAAAACGGCCCTGTCGTTTCCAGGGCCCACTAAGGTCCATGGCAATCGCTTGCATCGGCAGGGCATGGGCGGGGCATGGCGCATCTTCGCCCAGACTCGGCCAGGACCGGGGCCCAGAACGGGCTGCTCCTGTCCACCTGGATCTCGGGGCTGTTCAACCCGATGGCGTTCCTGACCGCCGTGATGCAGGTCGCACGAGGGCCGTGGAGTCTACAGTCCTTGGCATCGCTCGGACGTGTGCATGTTTCCGTCGGCGAGGACCATCGAGGAGCATCCTTGATCATTTGGCGAAAAAACCACGCACGAAACCGAACAAAAACACACATCGAATGGACGTCAGAGCGACGGCCAGAGTCGTGCTTGGATCTTGATCGTGTCGACAGGGTCGAGGGGGCTGCCACGCCTTTTGCCCTGCGCGACCGATTCGGCGTCCCGTGTCGGGAGTCCTGCGGCGAGCGCACGGAGCGGCTTCGGTGTTTCCGCGGGCGGCCTCCACAGAAGCCGAGGCTCGAGTGCCGCCAGGCATGAGCCAGAGCTCGGGACGGCTACCGCAAGCCACGGCGTTGCAAGCTCGATTTGGTCAGGAAGCGAAGCGGACAGGCAGGTCCGCAGCATCTGGCCAGCCTGAGGTACCGTTGAGTCGGGCGTGTCCTGCGAAAGGAGGACCATCCCAAACTGGCCGAGCAGATAGTCCGGAGGCGATTCTTCTACTTCTTTGGCTATGCTTTTTTCTCGATCTTGTCCTAGGTCTCGCCTGTAGGAGGACACTCAGGAGGGAAAGAAACCCACAGACACGATTCATCGGCTATTCCCCAGAAAATGTGGGAAGATATGGGAAGTGGGGTGGGGGGAAGGCAGAAACCCAGAAAATCTAGGAAAAGCTAGGGGAATCTTTTTCTTTGTGTGTCTTTGTTGGAGAGGCCTGACGGCCGGTGCCGCCGACCCTGATCGAAAGGGCTGGGAGTGGGGGGAGGAAGCGGAGGAGGAGGAGGAGGAGGAGGAGGAGGAGGAGGAGGAGGAGGAGGAGGAGAAGGAGGAGGAGAAGGAGCAGGAGAAGGAGCAGGAGGAGGAGGAGGAGGAGGAGGAGGAGGAGGAGGGGAGGAGGAGGAGGAGGTTTCTTTGTGTGTCTGTATTTCTGTGTCCTGGGGCCCCTGCGGCCACGCCCGAATCCGAAAAGGCACCGGCCTGGGCCACGGCAGGCCGGGCCCGGCCCGGGCCGCGCGGAAAAACCGTGGCGCGCGCGCGGCAGGCAGCGCCGCGCCGGCCGCGCGCCCGCCCGGGCCGCGCCCTGCCCCGCCCGGGGAGGTCACCGCCCGGGACCGCGCGATGCCGCTGGACTTCATGCAGGGCCCTCGGCGGCGACCTCCTTCGGCGGCGAGGAGGAGGAGGAGGAGGAGGGGGAGGAGGAGGAGGGGGAGGAGGAGGAGGAGGAGGAGGAGAGAGGAGGAGGAGGAGAGATGAGAATGAGGAGGAGGAGGAGGAGGCGGAGGAGGAGGAGGAGGAGGAGAAGGGGAAGGAGGAGGAGGAGGAAGAGGAGGAGGAGAAGGAGGAGGAGGAGGCGAAAGGAGAAGGAGGAGAAGGGGGAGGAGGTGGTTGAAGCGGAGGAGGAGAAGGAGGAGGAGGAGGCGAAAGGAGAAGGAGGAGAAGGGGGAGGAGGGGGTTGAAGAGGAGGAGGAGAAGGAGGAGGAGGAGGCGAAAGGAGAAGGGGAAGGCCTCTCTCAGAGGGCTCGGGCGTCGCCCGGCGGTCTTCGGAGGAGTCGTCTTCTGAGCCCTCCCAGGAGACGCCGAAAGCGTGTGTCAGAGGGCGCGAGGGCTTCCGAGAAGTCCCCTCGCTCTCCGAGGAGGCCTGCTCCGTCTCACTTCCCCCCCTCGCGCGCCGCCGATGCCTGCCCGCCCGGTCGACGCTCCCGAAGCTCGCGCCCTGCCGATCGGGGCCCCCGTTGCAGGCAGCCGTGCGCCCGATCGGCCTGGCGTGGTCGTGGGAAGCGTCGGCTCGGTCTGATCGTCGTGGTTCCCGTGTGTCGGGCCGGACGAAAGGGGGGGATTGGGAAAGGGGGGGTTAGGAAATTTGCTGCATGCAGCTGGTTTTGGCCTCACCGAGGGGCCCATTCCTCGATACATAGTCGCCCCCGGCGCCGCGAGGCGCCGGGAAAATCAGCTACGTGAGCTGATTCTCACCCCCCCCTTTGCTATCCCCCCCCTTTCGCCCGACCCGAGTGTGGGCCCTCTATAGCTTTCGGGCACGTGGCCGGGCATTCGCCGAGGACCAACCGCGTGACCTTCTTGAACATCATGGACCCTGCCGACTACCTCGGCGCCCCGGATTGCTTGCGCACCAAAAGGAGAGTCAATCGACATACGGTGGAGGCGTTTGTTAAGGAATAGTTCCAGGAGGCGCCAGACCCTGGAGGATTCCTTCTCCACTGAGGGCGGTGGTGATATCCATGGCCGATCCTCGATTGGAGTTCCACTGGCTTCCAGACCCTGGATTCCTTATCCAAGGAATCCCTATCCAATGCCCACACCGCAGTCCTGCCGTGCAGCCTTCTTAGATGCAAGTTTTGAGCGACGAAAGAAACGGGGCCGATTACGCCGACATTCGCGTGTAAGCTGCCCGCGTAAGGGCGCGCGTAAGCACCTTCGTTTCAGTGTAGCGATCCGCGCTGGCGGCCCGCGTACGCCACCGTGCAAGGTTGCTATGCCATCTCTCGTAAGACCCATTTCTCTTCGTCGCTCACTTTATGATGTTCCAACCCACTTTAGCCTTGATCACCAGAGAGAGTTTCGAGCACCAAGAAAGTACTCGTTTGACATTATTTCGAAACTTTTCTGGGTGCTCGAAAGTATTTTCTGGGATGTGATCCTGAAGTGCGATGGGAGCAACATACCGCTCACTTGTTATTCATTCGGCGAGCTCGTCCGAGAAACAGTTTGTCGGGCACAGTGCCCACCACTTCGCCGAGGCCGCGTGTCTGTAGTAGCCTTCCCTTCCCGTCCGTAAGCCTGTGTGTCCCTGGCATTTGGTTTTCCCCGATACCAGTCCAAAGCGCAGAATATTGCAACGCTACCATCGGGCACGCTCACATACAATGTGGGCCACCAGCAGGGTCTTCACACGACCGACGCGTGATGCCCGAAACGTGAACAAAAACTGGCAGCCTCACAGCCGGAAACGGAGTGATAGAGACCATCTTGGGACGATATTGGCATGCCGAATGCCACGTCCCATGAGGGGAACAAATACGCAGACACAATTAAACGTCGACCCCCCAGGAAAATATGGGAGAATATGGGAAGTGGAGAGGAGGAACACACTCCAGACAACACGGACAGACATACGGGACTCCTGGGCTTGGTGCCCATTTCTTCGTGTGTCCCCGGGCACTTTCAATGTCTGTTCACTGCATGGCAGCTGCGTGGCGCTTCATGCCATCAAGGTCTAGACCGCAAGCGACCGCATCACATACACGCTCGGCGCAGGGTGCCTGCCGACTGCGCCCACAACGTGACACGGCCGGCGAGCGCTGCCGGGGGCTGTTGCCCGCGGTTGTTGGCGAGCTGCGCGGGATCTTGCGCCGGGGTCTGCCACCATGTGGGCGCAGCACTCCTGTGTGGCGGCCCTGAGAATCACTGCCCACCAAACCTCCTCAACCCAACCCGAAGGCCAACATTTGCCCTCCATTTCTCAGTTGGGGGGGGGGGGGTCGTCGGGGAGCATTGAAAAAACACATGTGGAACCCGCACCCCCCCGCAAACCCGAAATTTGGGTCTTCGGATTGGGTTGGCGTGGTCTAGTAGGTAGTCAGAGACACGTACAGAAGGCCCTGACATGTGACAGCTTTGGTGTAGAGGCTTGATGTGGGTGACACGCCGTTCCGAGAAGTTCATGACATGCGATGGATGCCTCACCCAGGGCTTGGAGAGCCGTTTTTTTCCCAGTTCTCAGGGGTGGTGCTTGTAACATGTTTTCTCGTCGGTGGAGAGTATGTTACAACATGTGGCAGTTTCGTTCGCAATGACACAGGGCTGTCACATAGTAGAATCCCGATAGCCCGCTCCAGGGGTCTGGTGGGCTCCGTGGGGCCCCTTGGGGATCTGCTAGGGTTCTCTTGTCCACCTCGGATGTTATTGCTGCAAACCGTCGTGGTCCTGTGAAGGCGTTCCTCCTCCTCATCATCCTCCTTCTCCTCCTCACCTCCTCCTTCTCCTCCTCGTTCTCCTCCTACTCCTCATCCTCATCCTCGTCTTCCCCTTCCTCCTCCTCCTTTTCCTCCTCCTTCTCCTTCTCCTCCTTCTCCTCCTCTTCCTCCTCCTCCTCCTCCTCCTTCCCCCCCCCCTTCCTCCTTCTTCTCCTCCTCCTTCTCCTCCTCCTTCTCCTTTTCTCCTCCTCCTCCTCTTCTTCCTCCCCTGCCTTCCAGCGTCGTGCTCTTGGGCGACGTTGACGCCATCCAGGGGTAATTGGCGGTCGTTCGCCGAGGGGCGCCCCTTCGACGGCTCGGGGGCTCACGCAGTGGCCCAGGGAGCGCTGGGATTGCGTCAGCACGCTTCCGTGGCGATGCTGCCTCCCGCAACGCTGCAGTCCTGGACCCCCGTCACCCCAAAGATCGGCCACGCGCAGAGTGTCCGCGGAGGAAAAAGGGGCCCAAACCCCAACCCCCGCCCGGTCTCCCCTTCTCGAGCCTCTTGGGAGGCCCTGGTCGCCACCGCTGGATGCGCCTCGAAATCCTGGTCAGAACGCACTCTTGGGAGAGGTCCGGGGAGTAGCGGTGTCGGTCCGTTTTGGCTTCCCTAGGCTGGGGGGAAGGGAGGACGGCTTTTTAGAAGAAGCCATGTTTCTTGGAGCCCGTTTCTTTATAGCTTGGGGCATGACGGGCGTCATGGCCCCCGCGCCCCCCCACCCCCTATGACGTAACGCTCCCCCCCAGTACGGTCCGGGCACTGCCGCCGTGCGCATTGGGATCCGCGTAGGTGTCCGCGTAGGAATCCTCATAGGAGTCTGGTCCGCAGTCGTCGTCGTCGTCGTCGTCGTTGTCGTCGTCGTCGTCGTCGTCGTCGTCGTCGTCGTCGTCGTCGTTGTCGTCGTTATCGTCGTCGTCGTCGCTCGTGGCTTGTCGCTCGTCGCTCATTGTCGTCGTGCGCGCGGACGCGGCTGAAGCCTCTTTTTGATTCCGGGCCGATGACGGCAATCATCTAGGGGGGTGAGGGGGGTCGATGACGTCACGTTTCGCGCCGGCGGCGTCTGGGAATGCCTAGGGAAGACGGAGGACGGGTAGCGCCAGCATGTAGGTGGCGATTTGCACCACAACGCCTGTGTACACCACAGTGCCTGCGTGCACCACAGCGCCTGTGTACACCACACTGCCTACGTACACCAAAACAGCCGCGTGCAACACAGCATCAGTTTGTTCCACCGTGCCTGTGGACACAACAGCTCTCGTGCACACCACAGCGCTTGCGTACACCACATCAGCCGTGCGCAACACAGCACCTGTGCACACCACAATGTCTGAGTGCATTGCAGCGCCTATGTACACCATGGCGCCTGTGCGCACCCCAGCAACCGTGTGCAGCACAGCACCACTGTCGTATATAGAATGGACAAACGAATCCGAAAGACAAAATGGAGCGCTTGTGGATTCCACAGAAAACGATAGAAGCTAATCCTTATGGACAACGGAGCGCCGCTGGAATCGACGAGTCCTCCCGAGTCCGCCCGCATCACCCTAACTCTTCCCGTCTGCTTCCAGGAGGCTCCAGCTAAATTGGCCGTCCGAGAACCAATTGGACCGACTCAATCGACCATTCTGCGGTGCGCGCTGGGATGCGCACGTGCGCTGTAGCGCCAACCCGCACGACATGGGGTAAGGAGGAGGAGGAGAAGGAGGAGGAGGAGGAGGAGGAAAACGAAAAGAAGGCGGTGGAGGTGGAGGAGGAGGGAGGAGGGAAGAACGTCGCATTCGATTACCCGCACTTCTGTGGCGTAGTGTCTAGTTGTCCGCAGCAGATCCTCACGTGCATGCTCCTTCTACTTGTCCTATGCACGCAGGCATTGTGGTGTACACCAGCGCTGCGTTGCACGCGGATGCTGTGGTGTAGACACGCGCTGTGGCGTGCAGAGGCGCTGCGGTGCACGCAAGCATTGCGGTGTACACAGGCGTTGTGTTGCACATGGCAAATGCGGTGTGCACATGTACACCGGCGCTGCGGTGTACGCAGGCGCTGTGGTGTACACGCGCGTTGTGGTGCACGCGAGCGCTGTAGTGTACAGAGGCGCACTGGGGCATATCGCCACCTACATGCTGCTCGCGTCGACGTCGTCGTCGTCGTCGCTCGTCGCTCGTCACTCGTCGCTCGTCGCGTCGCGCGCGCGCGGGCGCGGCTGCGGTGCCGGAGCCACGGCGTGGGGGTGGCGTTACGTCATACCCCTTTCTCGCCCCCCCCCCCCACACCCCCATGATGCCCGTCATCGCCGAACATAAAACATCGCGCTCTTAGAAGGCGCGGGCCTTCTCTGGGGTAGAAGGCCTGTGGCTGCTATGAGGCAGCCCAGTCCAACATGCAGAGATCGGCCACGCGCAGAGCGAGGTAGGAAGAGGGAGGACGGCATCTCAGAGCCCCGAATCATCAGGGGTAACTCGGGTCAGGGCTAACTCGGGTTCGTTTTTCGGGATTCCGAACCCGACTTACCCCGGACCCGAGTTACCCCGGATAACTCGGGCGTCCAGAGCCCCGAATCATCAGGGGTAACTCGGGTCAGGGCTAACTCGGGTTCGCTTTTCGGGATTCCGAACCCGAGTTACCCCGGGCCCGAGTTACCCGGGATAACTCGGGCGCCCAAGCATCTTAGAAGAACCCCCGCTTCTTTGAGGGCGCGGGACTTCTCCACAGGTGCAGGGCCTGCGCCTTTTCGGAAGCCGCCTCCTTCTGCGCAGCCACCCCCCCTTTCCCAGATGACCCCTCTGGCGCGCGCCGCCGTAGAGATCCGCCCGGCAGCCGAGATGGAGAACGAGTGCCGGGGCTGAACAGATCTTATCCTCGGCGGTCTGGGCCTGCTTTATCGGATCGTAAATCACAGAAGTTTGTGCTCCTCTTGTATAGGATATATATATATATATATATATATATATACTCATACGCACCTCTCCGAGGAAGTAGAGCTCAGAGGCGATTAATGCGCACGCGTCCGCGATTTTTCTGGGCGTTTCGCTCGGGACATCCTCGAAATTCTGAAAATCGGTGGCACCCCTCACGCAGATCGTGACGTCAGGGTCCAAAAACACATGGGAATTTCAACATTTTAACATAAAACCTTCAAAAACACATGGTAATTTCAATAATTGTGACCCCGATTCTCAGGGAATGGCGGTTTCGCTTGAAAAATCCTTCCAAAATCGAGCCCCAGACCCCGCCTCGGAGCCTCCTGGGGGCCTCCTGGAACCTCCTGGGGCCTCCTGGGGCTTTCTGAACCTTCTGGCACCCCAGACCCCGCCTCGGAGCCTCCTGGGGGTGTCCTGAAACCTCCTGGGGCCTCCTGGGGCCTCCTGCGGCCTCCTGGAGCCTCTTGGGGCCTCCTGAAGCCTCCTGGGGTCTCCTGGGGCCTCCTGAGGCCGCCTGGGGCCTCCTGGGGCCTCCTGGGGCTTCAGAACTACATGCACACAGAGACACAAATCACGCCCAACACATCACACGCTAGACAAACATAACACACACACACACACACACCTACAACACACAAAAAGCACGCACCACACAAAGCATACATCACACACACACACACGCACAACACTCACAATCCTGGGGCCTCCTGGAGCCTCTTCTGGTATCCAAGTCGGGCCTCCTGAGGCTTCCTGGGGGGCCCTGGTACACACATCGCAAGGTGTGGCAACCCCACTTGCGCTCGAGTGCGACTTCGATGTTGCATTTCACTCCTGCTTCAAACGCCCCTTCAGTTTTTTGTATGAGCCTGGGCACAGACGTGCCACTTGTGTATATATATGTATATGTTTATATATATGTGTGTGTGTCTGTGTGTGTGTCGGCGAATCGTGCCCACTAGCGCCCAACAGCGACCAGCAGCGCCCAACAGCGACCCCTAGCGCCCAACGGCGATCAGCAGCGCCGACCTGGCACCCGATAGCGACACCGTGCCCGCTCTGCCCAGGACCACACGCGCCATCGCGTGCCACAGCGTCGGCGAGGAGGAGGAGGAGGAGGAGGAGGAGGAGGAGGAGGAGGAGGAGGAGGAGGAGGAGGAAGGAAGGGGGAGGGAGGAGGAGGAGGAGGAGGAGGAGGAGGAGGAGGAGGAGGAGGAGGAGGAGAGGAGGAGGAGGAGGAGGAGGAGGAGGAGAAGGGGAGGGGAGGGGAGGGGAGGGGGAGGGGGGAGGAGGAGGAGGGGAGGGGGGAGGGAGGAGGAGGGAGGAGGGGGAGGAGGAGGAGGAGGAGGAGGAGGAGGAGGAGGAGGAGGAGGAGGAGGAGGAGGAGGGGAGGAGGAGGAGAGGAGGAGGAGGGAGGAGGAGGAGGAGGAGGAGGAGGAGGAGGAGGAGGAGGAGGAGGCGCTCCTCCGAGGGGGCGCCGGCGCTGCCCCTCGGCCCCCGAAGGGCGCCCGCAGCACCCCGTCGTCGATGCCGGGAGAGCCCCGAGGGCCCTCGGCGGCCCCGAAGGCTCTCGCGGGCCCTCGGCGGCCCCGGAGATATCCTCGCGGGCCCTCGGTCTCCTCGACCCTCGGGCCTCGCAGCTCCTCGACGAGCCCCTCGGAGAGCCTCGAAGAGCCTCGACGAGCCCCTCGAAGATCCTCGACGGAGCTCCTCGACGAGCCCCCATCGGTCCTCGCAGGCCCTCGGAGGTCCCCTCCTCGCTCCGGCGGGCCCCTCCCTCGCCACGGGCCCGGCAGCAGGCGCCCCCGCCACCGGCGTCTACGTCCACGGGCTCTTCCTCGAGGGCGCGAGCTGGGAGGAGGGCAAGGGCGACGAGGACCCGGCCGGCGGGGGGCGCCCTCGCCGGGAGGGGGGGGGAGGAGAGGGGGAAGCACCCAGACCTCCGAGGATCCTGAGGCCCTTCTTCTCCTCCTCCTCCTCCTCCTCCTCCTCCTCCTCCTCCTCCTCGCCCTCGTCCTCTTCTCCTCCTTCTTCTTCCTCCTCCTACTCCTCCTCCTCTTCCGCCGTCTCCTCCTCCTCCTCCTCCTCTCCGAGGATCCGTTTTTCTTTCCATGCCGGCGCCCCCCGAGGCACGTCGTATCGGGCCCCTCGGGGCCTTCAAAAAAAGGAGTCGGGGCTGCGAACCCAGACCCCCTCGCGTTATGAAGAAAATCATGACGGGATGTGTTTTCGCTACAGTCAACCCGCATAGTAAGGATGGGCAACTATCCCAGGGGTACCCTTGTATCCTTGCCTCCTCGGTTCATCCTTCGCCACTTTCGTTGGCCGCGCCCCGCTCGAGAACCTTCGAAAGTGGCATCCAAGGCCCTTGCATCCTCATCGCGCATCCTTCTGATACGGGCCGACTGTATCTTCGGCCTCCGGGGGCTCTGACCAGACCCTGGGACCGTCAAAGAATGACTCGGGATGCAAAGCCGGTCCCATGGGAAGGGATCCAGGCCTCTGGGGGCCGACCTGGCGAGAGAAGCACGACGAGATATGTGGTTTTCGCTATGTTCGGCAGACCCCGGCCGTCAAACAAAAAGGACTCACGAGGAAAAGCCAGTTCCCCAGAGAAGGGACCCAGACCCCTGGGGGGTCGACGTTGTGGAGAGATCGCGACGTCGGGGGTCTGGGAAGCGGCAGAAACCAACAGCTGGTGATGTCTGGGCAGAAGGGGGAGAGGAGGGTACTCCAGATTTCGTAATGAAAGGGAGGGGGTCTCAACCCTCCCAGACGAGAAGTTTTAGACCCCCCCCCTGGGAGAACCCTCCAAAACATCGCCCCCAGACCCCCCCAGGCCCTCCAAGATGGCCTGGAAAAGAGACCCCCCCCCCGAAGTGAGACCCCCCCCCTTTATATTACGAAATCTGGAGTAAGGGCAGAGGGGAGAACAAGAGGCGTGAACATCCTCCTCCTCCTCCTCCTCCTCCTCCTCCTCCTCCTCCTCCTCCTATTCCGACGCTGGGCCTCCTCCTGGCGCGTCGCGCCGCCGATTCTGGCCCGCCACGCTGCGGCGCGGCGGGCGGGCCGCGTCCCGAGGGTCCCCGAGCGTCGGCGCCCCGAGCCGTCCCCGGCCACCCGCCTCGAAGGGGGGCGCGACGGCGCGCTGTCCGCTGGCAGGGTATCTCGTGTGCCGCCGGGGCCGCCGCCGCGACGTGCATGGCCCAGGCTCCTGACTGTAAATCCAAGACGCACACACCGCTATATATGTATATATATATATATACATATACATATCTACATATACATATACATATTCATATACATAAACATATACATATTCATATTCATATTCATGTAGTGAGTGAAAGAGGGAGGGACGAAAGAGTGAAGCACCTCATTAGCATCGAGATGGCGATGGACGCGGCAACGGCCCTCACTACAGGTGCCGTGCCCGCGCAGGAGAGCGAGGTCATACATGTCTGAGCGCTTCGGGTGCCGTTTTGGCCACTGCAGACAAACGCTTCGACCGCCTGGAGATTTGCGACGCGCTCCGACTTCGTGCGGTCCTGTGTGCCAGAGTCCACTTCAGGAAGATGCGATCCTGATGGGCTGAATTTCCACCACCACTGCCATAGCTAGGAGAGGGATTAGGAGGAGGAGGACTAGGAGGAGGAGGAGGAGGAGGAGGAGGAGGAGGAGGAGGAGGAGGACCTCCCCATCCTCCCTTCTCCCCGTCCTACCTATGGTGTGGGTGGTGAGAGGTCGGCCCATAAGATCCAGCATCGCCAGCGCAGCTATTCCGCTTACGAGGTCACGTCCGAAAGTGCTGTCATGTGGACGTGCGCCAGGCCTCTGCTCGTACTCTGTGAGCTTGGCCCTGCGCAGGGTCCAGCCCACCAGCTCACATCGCGCGACCGTTTATGAGCGACGTGGCATCGACCATCGGCACTCCACCGCTCACAGCGTCGTCGGAAACTGGCACGAAGCTCTTCCAATGGTCAAGCAGTGGCCAAGCGTCCTGGCTCGCCTATAGCCCCACCAAACGATGTTCTAAGAACCTTGTGTGGTTCCCACGACATGTTATTGGAGCATGTCTGGTTGGGACTGTCTTGTCTTATCGCATCGGGTTTATTTTCTAAGAACCTTGTTTTTGTTATTAGACCATTTTTGGGTTCTGAAAACATTCCGTGGTAGGACTGTAGGAATGCCGGGACGGTCGGCCCCTGCTCAGAATGGTCGGGCGGGTGCTACTGCCGGGGAAACGCAAGACGCGTGTAAGCCGGAACTCGGGTTTGCCGACGCTTTTTTTGGACGAGCGCGTCCTGGATTTTGACGGTCCCGTTTTCGTGGGATGTCTGCCGCGGGAGCTCGCGCCAGATTTCAGATTGAGCCTCGTCGTTGTTTTGTAGGCCCCGTCGGGCCAACCCGAGTCCCCCGTACTTTGTTAGTGAATTTAATTGGTTTTAGGGTTTTAACAAATGGTCGCAGCCACGCAGAGGGCGTGCGTAGCGACGCCCCAAATGCTCGGTCTCCAGCACTTCTACGTGGCGGCGCCCCCGCAGGCACGCAGAGGGCATGCGTGGCGACGGGGGCGTCGCCACGCAGAGCTTCTAAAGACGAAACATTTTGAAAACCAATTGTTTCCACTACCAAAGTACCCGAGTCTTATGTCTCCCCGATCCTGGGGGGTGGCCCAGACGGGGGGTGAAGAAGGGGGCTCTCGAAGGCTCCCTCGAGGGCTCCCTTTCGGGAGCCAGCGGGTGCCCCAGAGGGGGCCCTGACGTGCCCCGTTGGGGCCCTTTTCGTCACCCCCCCAGCCGGGTCGCCCCCCCATGGCACCCGGCCGAAGTGAGGGATGCTCGAATACCACGTGATGCCCAAGCCCTCCGAACGTTCGGCCCGTAACGTCCGAGCCATCCACAGGAGTCGGTGCTTCCATCCATTCTTCGCTCCCGATCTTCGCTTCCTGGACGTGCCATTCCTCCTACCCCACCCCCTCCTTCAGGCGTTCCCCTATCAAGCCTGTCGGGGTGGTGCCGCCTTTTCCCTCCGAGGAGGGGTACATCACCGCGAGCAAGATGAAGGAGCTGCACACACAGGAGACGCGCACGTTTCTTTCAAACGTTGCTCTCCAATTTCGAACTTTGTAGAAGAAACTGTGTGATCGCGATTGGCTCGAATGGCCGCTGCAGATCTTAGCTATGGGAGCTCGCCAAGCCTTGCCGACCACCACGAGGTCGGATTCTTCGAACTGTCTTGACGATGGTCCCGAGTGTTCGGTCTCACATTGTCGAAGGTAGTGTTAGCTTCATCCGCAGTGCATGTGTCACGATACCGTCTAGTGCTTGCGTAAGTTTTAGTATTACTCTCGGCTGGGAATTGGAGTTCCACTTCCACCGTTGATCTGGACCTTCCATTCTCCTGGAATAGGAGTTCCCTCTACGCAATGCTGTTGTCTAAGCCAAACTTCCCAGTTGTATGGGTTCCAGTGGCATGCTGCTTTTGCTGGTGCTTGGCTGTGGTCACCAACAGAGTTCGCCAACCAGGGACGGATCACAGGCAGCTCCTGAGCCGCACCGCATCGCCGACGACCAACGGCACGGGGCATCGGCGGTGTGGCGCGACGTGAGATCCCTGCTCCGACAGCCCGCGTTCTCTCGAGCCTCCGGGTGGCACGCGCTGGGCAGTGCCGCCAAGGGAGGCTCCGCCCACTCGCCTGCAGCGGGCAAGGAAATATGGGCTCCCAGATGCCCGTGGTGAACGTGTTCTCGGTGCGGGCCCGGCGTCTGCACGGCCGTGCATCCCTCCGGGCCCTCCTCTGCTCCCGGGGAGAGCCAACAGGTGCCGATACCGCCGCTCCCCGGACTCTTCCAGGGGTGCGTTCTGACCAGGATTCAGGGGCGAGTCCAGCGGTGGCGACGAGGGCTTCCCAGGAGGCGGAAAAAGGGGCAAAGGGGCGAAAGGTGGCGATATCGGTACATGTTCCTCCTCCGACGCTCCGTTGCTTCTTTTGGTCGCGCCATGGATCTGGTCACGCAGGCGCAGCCTTCTGGCACACTTCACGACGAACGAACAACACGCACCCATACCCATAGAGGGGTCGGAGGGAGGGGGACTGGTTATGGGTATGGGTGCGGGTTGTCTGACCCTTGGGGACGCTCCCGTTCGAGCGGGGACACCCATCCGACAACATGCTCTCATGGCCCCGTCCGTCCACCCTGTGGATATGGATGAGTCGTTCGCTTGTCACTCCAGCCCTCGGGCTCTTCGCGGCAGCCCTCCACCCCTCCTCGCCCGCCCTCGCCTGAGCTGGCAGGCCCACGCCCAACGCCAGCCATGCCTCAGGGTCCGGAGGGGCACCCCGACATCGCCTGATCAGCGCTAGCAGATATTTGCCTGTCAGGCGGTGGCGAAGCGTCCTGTCTTGCGTACAGGCCCACCAAAGAATGCTCCAAGAACTGTTGTGGTTTGCAGGATTTTCTTAGACCAGTTCTGGTTGAGAACGTCTTGTTTTAGTACATTGGCTTACCGTTCTAAGAACATAGTTTTTGTTATGAGAACGTTTTTGTGCTCTCAGCACATGTGGTGGTTGGCCTGTGGGAGTGCCAGGACGGTCGGCCCCTGCTCAAGCCTGCGCCCTGAGATCGGTATGGCGGTGGTGATCATGGTGGTCATCAGGGCTTCGGCGATGTTGATTATGGTGATGGTGGCGGTGGTGATCATGGTGATGGTGGCGGTGGTGAGCATCAGGGCGGCGACGGTGATGGTGGCAGTGGTGATCGTGGTGATGGCGGCGGTGATGGTGGCGGTGGTGACGATGGTGATGGTGACTTCGGCAGACAGCACCTCTGCACCACCACCGTGCCCGGCCAGGGCCAGCCGAGAAACCGGCCCCCGGGGAAGGCTTGGCGTCGCTCGGACGTGTGCTCCAGATTTCGTAATAAAAGGTAGGGGGGCCTCATTTCGGGGGGGGTCTCTTCCAGGCTATCTTGGAAGGCCTGGGGGGTCTGGGGACGATGTTTTGGAGGGTTCTCCCAGGGGGGAGGTCTGAAATGGCTTGTCTTGGAGGGTCCAGACCCCCTCCCTTTTATTACGAAGTCTGGAGTGCGTGTTTCTCCCCAGCGAGGGCCCTCGACGGGCCCTCTGGGCCACACCTTGCGAGGAGGGACGGCGCGCGCGAGGCCGAAGAGTGCACGGGGGAGGGGCGTGCGAGCGATGGCGGGACGGGGTCCTCCTCCTCCTCCTCCTCCTCCTCCTCCTCCTCCTCCTCCTCCTCCTGGGGGTCGGCGCCGAGAGGCAGCCACGGCGGCGGGAGGTCCGAGGAGCGGCCCCCTCCGCCGCAGTGGCCCCGCTGGCGCGGGGGCCTGCGGGGGCCCCCATATGAGCACTGGCCTGCGCGCCTGGGCTTGGCCTCTACCCTTATGATGCTCCAGCCTGCTCCAGATTTCGTAATAAAGGGAGGGGGGTCTCATTTCGGGGGGGGGTCTCTTCCAGGCTATCTTGGAGGGCCTGGGGGGGTCTGGGGACGATGTTTTGGAGGGTCCTCCCACGGGGGGGGGTCCAAAACTTCTCGTCTGGGAGGGTTGAGACCCCCTCCCCTTTATTACGAAATCTGGAGTACCCTTCTGATGCTCCAGCCTTTTTGGCCCTGACTACCAGAAATAATTTCGAGCGCCAAAAAAAAAAACTGAAACTCAAGGGTTTTCACGTGTCGGGCCCCGGGAGACGCTCGCCCGACACTGTTTTGACACGGTTTCGACACTCTCTTGGCACTTTTCTGGGTGCTCGAAATGATTTCTGGGATGTTGTCCTTACGTAGGATGGGAACAGCATAACTCTACCCGCGACCCCCTGCTGCCGCGCACCAAAGGCCACTCTCTCCTACAGTCAGGACGCTGAAGTAAGGAACAGTTTGGCTTCGGAAGGGGCTCGATGTTCCTTGGGTTCCTCCAGTGCTGTTCCTCGTGCCCTCCTGGGGCACGGAGGCGCTCACGGGGCCAAGAAGGGGCTTCGTTCCTTATTTAGCGTCCCTTCTTTCAGCAGCCCGACTGTAGGGTCACTCCTGAGTGTAGTCGACCTGGAGCCGAGCTGCTGGGGGACGCGGTGGGCGATGTCCACGGGGAGCGGCGGCGACGGCGACGGCGATGACGCGGATGATGAATCCTGCGACCGAGGTGCTCGGGGAAGAGATGAGCTGGGAGGGCATGTACCGGTGCCCAGTCTTCATGACGGCGGAGCGGGGCGCCACCTACGTCACCATGGTGAACGCCCGGGGCTCGCGCGAGCCGTGGCGGCGCGGCTGGGCGCGGCTGGCCGTTCCCCGCCGCCGGGAGGCAAGGAGAATGATACGTTCCAGGAAATTCCAGGGTTCCCGTGATTTCCAAGATAACCTGGTGTGCAACACGGGCTGCAGCACACGAGGGCCGCGAGATACTTTCTGGAACTCCTCGGGCGTATCCCGAGCGCTCTGTGGCGATCGCAGCCGCAGGGCCGTCTCGCCGGATCTGCGCCAAGACTGGCAACCAGGGGCGGCACTCTCAGAAAGGATTCTGGCGAAGGGCCCATCCATTTGCACTTGTGGGTGCCGCAGGCGTGAGAATCGCTGTCGGTGGAGCTCCCGTGAAGAGAGCGGCGAAATGAGGTGTGGCCGCTGTCTCCCCAATTGGAGCTGTGCGTAGCCCGCCCAGCTTTTAAGCGGAAGAGGTTCGTTCTCGCCCCGCAGAACCCCCCAAAAAATGAGGTTTGGCCTCCACACGGGCGCTGCCTCCGGGGGTACCACAATTTCATGGGTGGCGGCACGTGGGCGCAGCCACTGGGGCTCTGGGTGGAGCTCTCTATATGGGGCCACGGGCCAACGTGAGGGGGGTGACAGGAGGAAGGAGAAGCGGGAGGAGGAGGAGGAGGATGAAGAGGAGGGAGGAGCGGAAGGAGGCGGAGAGGAGAGGAGAGGCGAGGCGAGGCGAGGCGAGGCAAGGAGAGGAGAGGAGAGGAGAGGAGAGGAGAGGAGGAGAGGAGGGACGCGCGGGAGGGGGACTGGGCAAAGCAGGCCTGTTCTTGGGTCATGGTGGCGTGCTTTCTGGCTCTGGTTCGAGGTGCTCTAGGGTAGGTGATCCGCGCTGTGCTGGCGAAGATGCTGGCGTCGGTGATCCACGCTCTGCTGGCGAGGATGCTGGCGTCGGTTTTCCCGGCTGTGATGGCGAGGATGCTCGCGTCGGTGTTCCCAGCTCTGCTGTGCTGGCCAGGATGCTGGTGTTGGTGCCCAGGCTGTGCTCGCACGGATGCCGGCAACGGTACTCTCGGCTGCGATGCCTGGTATGTTGTCGTAGGTGATCCGCGCTGTGCTGGTGCGGATGCTGGCGTAGGTGTTCCTGGCTGTTCTGGCGAGAATGCTGGCGTCGATACTCTCGGTTGCGATGGCGAGGATGCTGGCGTCGGTGCAGCTGGCTATGCTGGCGAGTATGCTGGCGTCGGCGATCCACGCTGTGCTGGCGGGGATGCCGGCGCAGGTGATCCGCGCTGTGCTGGCGAGGATGCTTGCGTCGCACTTCACTCACACACCCCAATATCTGATTTCGATTCCCTAAGTAGATGTAAGTTTCACCGGCCGCTCTTTGATCCATGTCACCAGCGCTTCCAAAGCTTCATGGGATGATTCTGCCAAAAAGGTCTGGGCCACTTCACGATCAAATGCAAAATGAGATCAATAATGTGCCACTGGACCGCTCGGGCACATGATACTGCGCCCCTAGGTTTACCCCGCCCCCCACGGCTAGGCCCGTGGTCCACAGGGAGTATCATCATGGACCTTTCCACCGCCCATCTAAGCCCTCCGCCGTGATATCCCCCACCCCCCCTGCTACACATGCCACCGCGATTCTTGGGCTATTGAATTAGTCATCGGCCACGTTTTCCTCCTTGGCAGATCTCGCCCAGGCCAGCTCATCCCACCACAGTGCTACCTGTTCAGTCCAGCTTACCATGGCATTCTCCAGTCTGACCTTGCCTGGCCGCTCCCCTCACCGGCGTATATTGTCGCTGATCCAGCTTGGCTGCGCGTGATCGTGCACAGAAGGACTTCCAATGGTCACCACCCACCCTCTCGTGTGTTGCCAGAGGTGTCCCTGGCCCACGGTTTCCCCACGATCTCCAAGGAGGCCCGGCCCCTGGGGCATCCAGAGCACCCCTCCAGAGGCTCAGGAGGCTCCGTGGGGCACTGTGGGCCAGGGACACCTGCAGCAACCACCGAACCTCGCTCGCGAGAGGGCCCGGCCCGGCCGAGGTCCACATGGACCGCGACGACGACGAGCGGGTCTGGGTCCTCGCCGGGGCCGCCCTGGTGCTGACCGACGACGGCAGATGACGCACGTCGGTCCCGCGGGCGGGGCTTTCGGGTCCGTCGGCCAAAGTTCCGGCGCTGACCTGCCACCCTCCGCGAAATCGAACACAAGCTTCCCACGACCACGACGCGGCGGCTCCCCTGGACCCCCAATGTCACTGTTCGCGCCGAAGCTGGCGGCTTCGATTTTTCTTCGGACCCCGCGGGCCCCGTTGCGCGCGTCGCTGAACATTGAAATGCGGGGGGGGGGGATGGGGTTGGACAAAAACTTGCATTTGATTTCGAGGAGTGTTGTTGAACTTCCTTCTGCAATTCGAACCCTACCCCGCTGCGGGTCCAATCGACCGTGGGATTTTGGACACCCCTGCCCCGGTAGTGGGTCATCTGGCTGCAGACATCTTTCCAAGTATTGACGCTTCGCATATGCCAACCAGCCCATTCAGAAATGATTCCTAGGCGAGTTGCCCTGATCAGGGAAGTGAAGCAGCATGGACTGGATTGGAGTGGAAAAGAACGGAAAGGGGAGCAGCCGCCGTCAACCCAAAGCTCAGGACCAGCCTGATCGTATCCAGTGGTCAACCAGACATGCATTCGCGGATCTTTCAATATTGGAGCCTCTTGGAAGCCTATTTGGGTCATCTTGGGGCGCTCGTGGGGCAATTCGAGTGCCTTTGGGGCTCAATTTTGGCCCTCCAGGATGCCATGGAGCCCTCTTCCATTTTGGAGGACATCGATCAAAGAGGGGGGGTCCTTGATTAACCTTGCTCCGGGAGAAGGCAGAGAAATCGCCTCTTGGGACCCTCCTGGAGCGGTCTTGGGCGCTCTCAGGGCCACCTTGGAATCTTTATGTGCTCCTCTTGGGTCAGTGGGGCCTCTCTTGGGCAACCTGGGAGCCATCTCGAGGCCCCAGAAGCCCATCGGAAGCGAAAGGGCAAGAAGGCACACACACACATTGAACAACTATATGTTGATTGTGTCTTCAGGGGGCATCATTGGGAGGCTGCGCGGACTCTATGAGCCGTGATGGGTTGGCCTTGGAGCCTGGTGGAAGCATGGTGGAGGTCATTCAGGACTATTTTCCTCCTCCTCCTCCCTTCCTCCTCCCCCTCCTCCTCCTCCTCCTCCTCCTCCTCCTCCTCCTCCTCCTCCTCCTCCTCCTCCTCCTCCTCCTCCTCCCTCCTCGTCCTCCTCCTCCTCCTCTCTCCTCCTCCTCCTCCCTCCTCCCCTCTCTCCTCCCTCCTCCTCCTCCTCCTCTCCTCCTCCCTCCTCCTCCTCCCTCCCCCTCCTCCTCCTCCGCCTCCTCCTCCTCCGCCTCCGCCTCCTCTCCTCCTCCTCTCCTCCTCCTCCTCCTCCTCCTCTCCTCCTCCTCCTCCCCCTCCTCCTCCTCCCCCTCCTCCTCATCCTCCTCCTCCTTTGCCCCATCTTGGAAGCCATGTTAGGCTGCATGAGGCCATCTTGGACCATCCTAGGCGCTGTAACTCCGCGTGGAGCCCCTTCCGGAAGGGGGAGAAGGGGTGTTGCAAGACCAGTTCCTCTAAGCCACCTGCGCCCAGAGAGTTGGTGGGGTTGCGAGCCTCCGCCGGTGTTTCAGAAGTTGAAATTGCAAGGGTAGAGTTCACATGTGGCTTACTACCTTGGTCACGAAAGAATCATCAAAACGACCTGGGGGTAACAACGATTTGGTTGGACCTGAGAGCTCCAGGGCCGTCGTCTTGAAAAAGCATGGTCGAGGTCTGGGATAGTATCGTCCCCTCTACGCACACCGGCCCCCAAGGAGTGCAGGCAGGAAGGAGGGCGGAGGGCGTCCATGAGATATGCTCCAGGGGCACAAGTATGTTTTCTGAAGTCGCCGCGGGTAGTCTTCCGAAATTGTTTGCAGAGGGACATCCAGATTGCCGTCCTCTTTTTGAGGACGCCAGACGTCTGGGGACCTGGCTCGGAGCCACGGAGGGTAAGGTTTATTTCCAGAGAGAGGTGCCTGTGCATGCCCTTGCTGTCCTGGCCTAAGATGGGGGGTGAGCGGTTGAGTCGACTGGCTCGCCAAGGGCTCCGATGCCGGGCTGCTTCCTTCGATGCAGGAAGGGATGATGATGATGATGATGATGATGATGATGATGATGCTGATGCTGATGCTGATGATGATGATGATGATGCTGATGATGATGATGATGATGATGATGATGATGGTGGTGGTGGTGGTGGTGGTGGTGATGATGATGATGATGATGATGATGCTGATGATGATGATGATGATGATGATGATGATGATGATGATGATGATGCTGATGCTGATGATGATGATGATGATGATGATGATGATGATGATGATGATGATGATGATGATGATGATGTTGATGATGGTGAGGAGGAGGAGGAGGAGGAGGAGGAGGGGGAGGAGTATGAGGAGAGGGAGCGGATGGGACACTGGTCTAGCACGCGATCTCTGTTCCTGCTCATCTCCTCTGCGACCCTCCTCTCGTCGCCGAGACCCCCTCCCCCCAGGCCACGCGCCCGGGCTCCGTCGGGGTGATGGAGGACGCCCTTCTGCTGGTTTCTCTCTTCATTTGGGTCGTGGCGCGGGGCAGGGGAGCGGCGAGGAGTGGTGTGAGCAGCCAGGGGGAAGCGAGGCAGGTACGCAAGGAGGTGGAGCGGCGGGCACACTGGAAGCCGACGGGGTGATGGAGGACGCCCTTCTTCCGGTCTCTCTCTCCACTTGGGTCGTGGCACGGGGCGCAGGGGAGCGGCGAGGAGTGGCGTGAGCAGCCGGGGGGGAGGCGAGGCAGGTATACGCAAGGAGGTATGGAGCGGCGGGCACAGGGGAAGCCCCGAACGCAGCGATGCCGTGGCGGCATCCTTCGCCCCTCCTCGTCTTGCTCTGGCCCTCCTCCTCCTCGGCAGCTTCCTCCTCTCCCTCTCGGCAATCCCCTGCTGCTGCTCCCTCTCCTCCTCCTGCTGCTCCTCCCAGTGCACTTCGCCTTGATCATGATCCTCCTTCCGCGCGCGCCCCATCGGACAGTCTCGATCCCTACACGATAGGGGGACTATTGGGGCTCACGAGCTCCCTCGGGGCCATTCCTTGAGGCCTGGGGGGAGCTGCTCCTTGGTGAGCTTCAAAATGGCCTTGTGCCCCCCACCCTGACTGTTGCGGGGTGGGGTGCACTGCTTTTTGAATTTCCTGGAGGCCCGAACCTTCCAGCACCCACACCTCCGACACCAGAGGACCCCACGGCAGACGGCGAGGTGGGGTCGGTGGCTAGGATGGATGGGGGGCGGGCCTCCAGCGGCAGGGAGGGCCGCCTCCTGCCCGATGTCCTGTGACGAACTTGCGGCTCTGGAGGGCTCCTGCGCTCGCGCCGCGGGCCTGGCGGCGGGGCAAGGGAGCTTGAGCCAGCGAGCGCAGCACCTCCTGTGGGTCTGCTTGCCACACCTGACGCAGGAAACCTGGTCATCGCGGACCTCGGGCCAGTGAGCGGTCACCTCTAAAAGGTGCTGGAAAGCTTTGTCACTCCGCTCCTTACGCTGAGCTCTCTTGGTCTCAGCAGGAGCCTCTTCTACTGGGTAGTGGGTCCACCACATCATCTGGACAGTGGCCAATCGCCCTCGGATCTGCTCTGCGAGTGTGTCCAAGGCCAGCACTCGGTCGACCAGGTCCTGGGGCGCGGCGGCAGAGGCGGCAGCCTGTCCAGCGAATTCGTCGGCCTGTTCATTCACATACAGGGCCCAGGCGGGAAAACGGGCGCGGACCTCAGGGTCCGTGGCATGGCTCTTTACTTTAAGAAACCGAACCTGGCCCGTGCGAGCCCCTAGGACCCTCCAAAGCTCGGCCCAGAGCCTACGATTGGAACGAGCTCGCCTACGGGGACCCCCGTGGTACCCACGGATGAGGTAGGCCGAGTCGGTGACCACTATAAGGTCGCCCTGGGTGTGCCTGAGGAGCTCGATGGCCCCTTTGAGCTCAGCCCGATTGATGGTCTGGAGCCCTATGACATTCCCTTGGAGAGTGCCAAGGAGGTTTAAATCTTCATCCCAGACCCCCGCACCCCATCCTACACGCCTCAGGCGGGGATCGGAAGAGAAAGCACCCCCTGAGCCATCCACCGAACCGAGGCGCCAACCGCCCCTCGGCTCAGGAGGGTCCAGGAAAGCGCCAGTCCCAACTAGGACGGGGTGCTGAGGTGTGGTGTCTTCTACAGCCTTCAGAGCGAGACCTGCTGGAATGAGCCCTCGGAGCCACAGACAAGCTGGCTGGTCGTCCCCTTGAGCGGTGTCCACAAGGTCCTCTGTTTCCTGAATGAGGGGATGCTCGGCCTGGAAAAGGAGCGGGCACCCCCAGAACTTGTGATAATCATCGCAGTGATGGTCTCCGCACAACGGGCAAACCGAGTCGTCTGCTAAGCCTGCCTCGAAGCGTCGCCTGGGGCTCCAGGCTGAACAAGCACAAACTGCCTTGAGCGCCTTCGCGAGGTTCTTCTGTCCGTCGCGATACATCCGTTCGATCTGCCACCGCGAACTCTTGATATCGATTCCATCCTGTACCCCTCCTGCTGCGTGTCCCCCTTGGGCCCCACTCCAGACTCGGTGGTGGAGGAACTGCTGGAATCTGCACATGAAATAGTCTTGCTCCTGGAGACTCCCAGGTCGGACTCGAAAAACCTGGCCGGCTGGGCTTGTCCAAGCCCAGGCTGAGTCGGGCTGCCACCCCAGGTCGAGGAGAGTGGCCACAACGGCATTGAGATGGCTGACCACATTGTTCCACCGCCTGGGCCGCTGGAGCTTGGTGACCACCTTGGGCCAGGCGAGCTCGATCCCATTCCTGAGGTGCGGCTGGGTCTCCACCAGCTCGAACCACATCTCAAAAAGATTGACGCGATGGAAGATGGCGGGGTCCAGGGCCTCTGGCGGCAACTTCGACTGGTGGAGCCCTGCGGTGAGACAACTGCCTGGTTTACTGGTCCCCAGGGCCGCCCCTGCTGCTCTCCTGTGCTGGCTGAGCTCTGTCGGGGAGACCCCGTGGCCCTCAAGTCCCCAATGGAGCTGTGGCTGAGCCCCTGCACGATATAGACGATGAGCACTCTTGGTCACCCTCAGGAGCCTCTTAATGTTCTTGTGCCTCCTGAACCCCAGACGCTGCCGAGCCCTGCGAACCTTTAAGTGCCTGCGCTTGCCTACTGTGGAGTCCAACCCGAGGTCCCTGGTGCCCAGCTTGGTCTGCAGGGGGATCCCGTGGAGCTTGCAGGAGTCCTGGACCTGGTTCCTGATGTCATTGTCATTCGACAAGAGGGCCGACTTCGGGGATAACCTGCACCCAAGATCTACGAGCCCTGCTTTGATAAACTTCATAGCCTCGGGGAAGGACTGGAGCAGGGACGCGGCCGAGCCGACCATGCGGGCCCGCAGGTCGTCCACCCAGGTCCTGAGGGTGAGACGGCTGAACCTGAGATGCGCCTGATGGAGGAGGTCGTGCAAAAGAACTCGCGTCCAAGCCACGCTTTGGCCGCATCCCGCTAAGATACTGCGCTGGGGAATGATCGGGTGGCTGACCCCCATCTCCGTGGTGAGATATCGAACTGCTAGGTGGGTCATGATCCCCAGACTTAGACAGATACTTGGGTACCCCATTTCTTTGGCCTTAGCCGCTAACACGTGGGTGAGGATGGTGTCATAGAATTTCTCTAGGTCCAAGAGCCCTTCGACAACTTTGATCTGGAGTTCCGTCCCCACTTCCGCAAAAAGTTCTGAAATGATGTCTGCGCGCAGACAGCTGGATCCTTTGATTGCCGCGTCCCAGTGTCCTGCCTTGGCCGCCTCCCACTTGCCGATCTCCCCCCTCCTCATCCTCATGAGCAGCCTGTAGAGGGAGGTGGTGAGCGTGATCGGCCTATCCGTCGTCACGGTCTTCGGCTTGAGCGCTACAAGGTTCCCTAAGCACTGGGCGGGCATCGACTGCTTCTCTTCGATGGTGTTTAACATGCTCGTGAGCTCTGTGAGCCCTGGGCCTGGGAGTCGAACAAAATCTCTTCCTCCTCCTGCCGCTCCCTCTCCTCCTTCACCTCATGCTGCCCTTCCTCCTCTCCCCCCTGCAGTCGCCACTGCTTCTCTACCTCTCCACCCCCCCGTGCTCCACGGCCAATCAGTTCACGCCTCGGGCCCGTGCCCCCTCGCGAAGCGCGCACGTAACATACCGCCCTCCTTCCTCACAGGGAGGTTGGGGCGCTCGTGGAGGAATGCGGCCGGGAGGCTTCAGACCCTAGGGGGCGCCTTGTCTGACGAGTGCTGGTGGTGGTATCCATGGCCAATCCACGACTGGAGTTGGCCGGTTTCCAGACCCTGGATTCTTTCTCGGATGATTCCGCTTCGGATTCCGTATCCGATGGAGGGCGGCGGTGACATCCATGGTCGCTCCACCTTGCGGCGTTCCGCCGGCTTCCGGCCCCGGAGGTTCCTTCCCTTGTGGCTCCCTGCCCAAGACCCTGCCCCTCGCCATGTTGGCTCGATGCCCAGGCCCGCGCCCCCCTCCCGCGAAGCGCGCACGTTCTAACTACCGCCCCTCCTTGCACGCGCAACCACACCTGACCCTTTGTGGGCCCCGGAAACGGCAGGGCCGTTTTTTCACCTTTTCCAGAAAAATGTCCATTGAAAATGGAAACGGCAAAAAACGGCGACCGGAAACGGCAAAAGAACGGCTCCAGGATTGGATCCGGAGCCGGAGCCAGAACCGGTCAAAAATCGGCGACGGAACCGGTAAAAAAACGGCGTCGGAACCGGCAAAAAAACGGCAGAACGGAGCCGGCAAACAAACGGCCCTGTCGTTTCCAGGGCCCACTAAGCACCTGACCCATGAGCTGCAAGATGCTCGGCCTCCTCGCCCTGCTGCTGGCCCCCCTCGCCCGCGCGCGCCTGCGCGGCTTCCCCGCGGCCGGGGCCGCCGCCTGCGGGGGGCCGGGCCCCTCCGCGGAGGCGGGTTGCGACCAGGAGGGGGAGGAGGAGGAGGAGGAGGAGGAGGAGGAAGGAGGAGGAGGAGGAGGAGGAGGAAGGAGGAGGAGGAGGAGGAGGAGGAGGAGGAGGAGGAGGAGGAGGAGGATGGAGGATGGAGGAGGAGGAGGAGGAGGAGGAGGTGTGTCCCTCCTGGGAAGGGGCCCTCGCCGCCACGGCTGGAAATTCGCTCCGAGGCCCTGGTCGGGACGCGCCATGGGAGGGGTCCTATATGGGGGTAGCGGTATGTCGAGCACGAGCGGCAGGCGCGTCCACGCCCACGCCCTCGCGGCCTGGATTTAAGTCGGGCCTGTCCCTCTACAGGGGGATTTTCGACGAAAAATAAGAAAATACCCACAAAGTAATTAAAAAAAATAGTCCGACAATAGTCTGGGGACTATTTTTGAGTATGTTTTAGCCTTTTGTTGGGGCATTTTTGGGGTATTGTTCATTTCTCACCGGAACTAGGGGGACACGCCCGACAGAACTCTGGATTCGGGTGCGCGATCCCGCGGGTGCCCGCGGCCGCACGGACGCGTGCCGCACGGGGCATGCGTGACAGAAAGGCGCCAGGCAGCTGCGGGGTCGCGGCCCAGGGGCGCGGCCCGCGAGGCCGCGGATGCGGATGCGGCTTCCGCCCGCGAGAGGCGGGGGCGGAGGCGCCCGACAGCGGCTTCGACGAGCTTGCGCTGCTGCAGGGGGAGGTGGAGCCCGCCCAGGGCACGCACGAGAAGACGGTGCAGGAGTGGCTCGAGCACTGGGACGACCACAAGACCCACATCTCGGCGGCGAGCGCTGGGGGGGGAGTGGGGAGGCGAAGGCCTTCTCAGAAGGCGGCGGGGCTTCTCAGAAGCCCTCGCGCCTTCTGGGAGGTTTCCTGCGCCTTCGGGGAAGGCTCAGACAACTTGTCAGAAGGCCCGAGAACTTCCGAGCCTTATGAGAGGGCCCGCCCCTTCTCGCTTCCCCCCCTCGCTCGCCGCCGACACGTCTCCGCCGAGGAGAGGGTGCTGCATAACGAGACGGTCGCCGCGCAGCTCGCCAAGATCGCCGCCGGCGCCTGCGACGACGACCCGCACTGGCAGGACGCCGACGGCGACGGCTGCGAGATCTACAAGTTCGCTATCGAATCTGGGAAGATGACGCAGGAATCGAACAAGAACAAGTGCCATAAACACAAACTTTTGGCGCTCCGCGCGGGCTTCTTGCACCCGCGCTGGACCCCCCCCAAGCGGCGCCTCCAGCGCCGCCCCTGGCGCGCTCCGCGCGCCAGGGAGGGGGGTCCAGCGCAGATCCAAGAAATCCGCGCGGAGCGCAAAAAGCTGACGTTTATAATGCCGTTTTTTTTCATCTTCCATAGTCGGGGGAACGTAAGACTCGGGTACGCCGGAACTCGGGTTTGCCGACGTTTCTTGACGAGCGCGTCCTGGATTTTGACGGTCCAGTTTTCGTGGCATGTTTGCCGTGGGAGCTCGCGTCACATGTCAGACTGCACCTCGTGTCATTTTTATGACGGACCCCGTCAGGCCAACCCGCGTCCCCCGTACCCGAGTCTTACTCACCACCCACCAAGCCACCCCAACCCAACCCGAAGGCTCAGATTTACCCTCGATTTCCAGTGGGGGGGGTCGGGAAACATCGAAAAAACACGTGTGTAACCCTTACCCCCCCCCAAACCGAAATTCGGGTCTTCGGGTTGGGTTGGGGTGGTCTGGTAGGTAGTCACTTACGTCTCCCCTATACTAGGAAGTCGCCTGCGGCGGCGGCGGCGAGGCCCGATCGGCCCCCGGACTCCGCGGCGTCCGGGTCGCCGCGGACGCCACGGCCCGGGCCTTCTGCCCGGCCACCTGCGGCGCGTGCCCGCGCCCCGCGCCCCCGGCCGAGCCCGCCGCGGAGCCCCTGGAGGACGACGTGACGTTCCTGCAGGTGCCCAGTGCCTCTCGAAATGGGGTCCGAGCCTCTGCGGGCCCCGGAAACGGCAGGGCCGCTTGTATACCGTTTCCATAAAGAAATGTCCCTTGGAAGTGGAAACGGCAATTTCAAAACGGCGACCGGAAACGGCAACAAAAACGGCTCCAGGATTGGAACCGGAGCCAGAACCGGTCAAAAAACGGCGACGGAACCGGCAAACAAACGGCAGAACGGAACCGGTAAAAAAACGGCCTTGTCGTTTCCAGGGCCCACGAAGGTCCGAGCATCATCGAAGAAGAACAGCGCCATAAACATGGACTTCTGGCGCTCCGCGCGGATTCCTCGGATCCGCGTGGGGGCTCCCCCGGCGGCGCCTCCCGCGCCGCCCCTGGCGCGCTCCGCGCGCCAGGAAGGGGGGTCCGGCGCAGATCCAGGAAATCCGCGCTGAGCGCCGAGCGTGTATGTTCATGGCGTTTTTTCTTCCTGAAAGGATATCGATACCGCTTCTCGTCTTGGAGAGCCCTTACCGCCACGGCTGGCTTCTCTCTTCGGAGTTCTCATCGGAACGCACCGCTGGAGAGGTCCGAGGAGTGGCGGTGTCGATATCTTTTGGTCTCCCGAGCAGGTGGGGTCGGAGGATCGCGCCGCATCGTCGAAACATCGACGATGCAGCTCCATCTGTAGCTCGATTTTCTTCACGCTGGCGGCTCTGGGCGATGCGGCGCGATCGTCCGACCCAATTTGCTCGGGACCCCCATGTGAGAGGCCTCCAAGGTGGGGGTCAGCTCGTCCGAGGCGCCGCCAAAGTCGACGGCCTCCTGGCTGAGCCACATGCATGACCACCGCTCGAGGATCTCGGACGAGGACCGCGTCCTGCACAACGAGACGGTGGCGTACCAGCTGCAGCGGCTGGAGCTCGAGAGGCAGGGTGGCCACGGCTGCGTGGACGACCCGCACTGGCGCGACGCCGACGGCGACGGCTGCGAGATCTACAGGTTCGCGGTCGAGTCGGGGAAGACCACGCGGGACCTGGTCTGCGGCGGCGGCGGCGAGCAGGCGGCGCCCGCGCGCCTCCGCGGGGGCCGCGTGAGGGTCGTCGCCGACGCCACCGCGAGGGTCTTCTGCCCCGTGACGTGCGGCCTCTGCTGAGAGGAGGGGGGCCCGCCGTCTGCCCCCGCCCAGCGGGGCAGAGGGGCGCCGCGGCTGCCCCGCGGCGGGGGCCCCTTCTGCGGGGCGTCGTGCCCCCCGAGGGGCTCCAGCTCCCCGGAGGATGCCTTCTCGGCGGAGAGGGCGGCGGGGGCACCCGTGGCCGAGCCTCCGCCGGCGTTCCGCTGGCTTCCACGCCCTGGGTGCTCCCGATCTGAGGGCCCCTCACCCAGCGCCCTCACCGTGCCTGTCCATCTATACAAAGTCAGCAGGGCAAAAACACACACCACACACACACACAGGCACAATGAATCGTCGACTCCCAGGAAAAGATGGGAACATCCGGGAATTGGGGGGGAAGACGAAAACCCAGAGAGTGTAGGAAGATAATGGGGAATCCTTTTATTTGTGTGTATGTGATTGGTGTGTCCCAGGGCCCCTATCACAAAGGCAGGGCGCGACTGTGCCAGTCCATCTATACGAAGGCGGGGCGTGGAAACCAACAGCCCACGCACAGGGAAGCCTCGGGCAGTAAACCGCGGAAGCTTCCGCTCGTCTTGGACCGAGTACACATCGGCGATCGGCGCCCAGTCGTGTTCAAGGGTGCCCACCAGCGCCCAAGAGCGCCCAGCAGCAGCGCCGAGTAGCCCCCAGGTGGCTCCCAATAGGGACCAATGGCGCCCAAGAGCTCCCAAGAGGGACCCATGACGCCCGACAGCGCCGTGCGAGGGAGATGCATCCTGTCCGCTCTGCGCGCGATTGGGCGCGCTTTGGGGCGCCATGGGGACGACAGAAAGCTTCTGTGAGTTAGTCTGCAAAGAAGAGATGGGAGGGAGGGACAGCACGACCGACGGGCGACTTCACCACTCGGAACAACCTTTCAGTCGGGCCTGTCCCTCTACAGGAGGAATATTCAAAAATTGCAAACAAAAAAAAAAAGATCACCTGGGGATTATGTTTGGGGTATGTTTTGACAATTTTGGAGTAGTTTTTGACTCGTTTTTTAATGTTCGTCGAAACTCTCCTTGTAGGGGGACAGGCCCGACTTGAAGCAACCTGGAACCCCCGAAGCCAAAACCCCAACGGGCAGGCGGTGCGTCCCCCTGCTCCTCCTGCTGGTCGTTGCCTGCCCTGCTCCCCCTGCTGCCGCTCCTCCTCCCGCTGCCCCCCGGGGTCCTCCAGCCCTCGTCCCCGTGACCAAGGGCGCCCTCGAGGGCGCGAAGCTGTTCGCGCTTCGCGCTTCGCGCTTCGGCTTCGATTCCTCCTCCTCCTCCTCCTCCTCCTCCTCCTCCTCCTCCTCCTCCTCCTCCTCCTCCTCCTCTCCCCTTGGAGGCGGCGCGAGAGCGCGAAGTCTTGCGCACTCCGCGCTGCGCGCAGCGCGCAGCGCGCAGCGCGCGACGCTGGGTGCCCTCGGCAGCTCCGCCCGCCCCGCCACCGGGCGGGCGGCCCTCGCCCAGAGGCTCCCGAGGCCCGCTCGGCTGCAGACGTGCACACGGCGGCTCTCCACGGGCGGAGGGCTGGGCAGGTCTCTCGCACACGAGGTGCGGCCCTCGCCCGGAGAGCTCCGCGGCTGTGCGCTCACCGTGTTTTCCCCACAGCTGCACCTCCTCCTCCTCCTCCTCCTCCTCCTCCTCCTCCTCCTCCTCCTCCTCCCGCAGGTGGTCTTCAAGGTGTGTTTCTCGCAGTAGTGCCGCGCCCAGCAGTCGAGCGCACGGAGCGCGGCTGGTTCTCCGAGACCACCTGTGCTGCTCTCGGCCTCCAGACCCTCCCGCGCCCCGCGTTCTCTTCTCCTCCTCCGCTCCCTCCTGTCTCTGCTTTCCGCGTGCCCGCCCCTGCGCACCCCTCACACCATTGGTGGCCCCACGGGGAGCTCCATCGAAGGTCTCAGCAGGACCAACCGCATGCGGTCCCTGAGTCTACGGTGGGGGCGTTGCTTCAGGAATGTGCTTTATCTTACGAGGACGGCGGCGACATTCATGGTCGATCCACAACTGGAATGCCGCCGGTTTCCAGACCCTGGATTCCTTATCCAAGGTTTCCTTATCCAATGCCTCCTCCGTACCTCGGAACACCCCTCACACCTCGTGGCTCCGCAGTGAGCTCCCCCGAGGGCCTCATTTGGACCGACCGCCTGCGGCTCCGCGGCCCATTCCGGCACTGCCCGCACGCGTGCCTGCGGCCCCACAGAGGGCTGCACAAAAGGCCCCAGTGAGATCGACCGCATTTGATTCCCATGCCCATGCCGTTGCAATCCTCGCACATTTCGTGGCCCCCACCGGGAGCTCCACCGACGGCCTCAGTGGGACCGACCGCGTCGCGTCCTCCAGCCCGTTTCGGCACGCCCATCACACGCCCCGTGGCATTATAGGGAGCTCTGCCGAAAGATTTAGTGGGACCGACCGCGTAGCGTAGCCCAGACAGTTTCGGCACACCTCGCACATGTTTCCTGGCCCCATGGGGAGCTTCTCCGACCGCTTCATTCGGAGAGTTCGCATGCGCGCCCACGCCCATTTCGGCACATCCCTCACACTCCCTCATCATAGGGAGCTCCACTCACGGCCCCAGCGGTGGCGCCCTTTGGGCAGCGCCGCATCATTTCATCACATCCCTCACACGTTCCACGGTCCCATGGAAAGCTCCACCCACGGCCCCAGCGAGGGCGTCCGCATGGCGGCGCCGCCCCATTCCGACACAACCCTCACAAGGGACGTGGCCCCGTATGCAGTTTCACCTGCGCCCCCAGTGAAGCCGCCCGCATGGAGCCCCCGCCCATTTCGCCGCAACCTTCACGAGAGCGGTGGGCCCATAGGGAGCTCCACCTACGGCCACAATGACAGAGTCCGTATGGCGAACCCGCCAATGTCAGCGCGCCCTTCACAATGATCGTGGCCTCGTGTGGGAGCTTCCCACAGGTCCTCAGCGGAAGGGTCCGCATGGCTGCGCCGTCCCTTTCCGCGCACCCATCACGAGGACCTTGGCCCCCATGTGGAGCTCCACCTGCGGCCCCAGTGGCAGGGTCCGCCTTGCGGCGCCGCCCAGGACGACGCACCCCTCTCGAGTAGAATGGCCCAAAAAAGTTGCTCCACGTACGGCCCCAGTGGGGGGGTCCGCATGGCGGCGCCGCCCTTACTACCCGCGCACCATTCATGACGAACCAACCACACACACACACACACACACACACACACACACACACACACACACGCACGCACGCACGCACGCACGCACGCACGCACGCACGCACGCACGCACGCACGCACGCACGCACGCACGCACGCACGCACGCACGCACGCACGCACGCACGCACGCACGCACGCACGCACGCACGCACGCACGCACGCACGCACGCTCGCACGCACGCACGCACGCACGCACGCACGCACGCACGCACGCACGCACGCACGCACGCACGCACGCACGCACGCACGCACGCACGCACGCACGCACGCACGCACGCACGCACGCACGCACGCACGCACGCACGCACGCACGCACGCACGCACGCACGCACGCGCACGCACGCACGCACGCACGCACGCACGCACGCACGCACGCACGCACGCACGCACGCACGCACGCACGCACGCACGCACGCACGCACGCACGCACGCACGCACGCACGCACGCACGCACGCACGCACGCACGCACGCACGCACGCACGCACACACACACACACACACACACACACACATACACACATAGGGGGGTCGGAGAGGGCTATGGGTGCGTGTTGTCGGATGGGGGTCCCCGCTCGAACGGGAGCGTTCCCCAGGGTCCGACAACCCGCGCCCATACCCATAGCCAGTCCTCCTCTCAACGACCCCCCTATGGGTGTGGGTGTGTGTTGCTCGCTCTTCATTTCACGAGGATCGGGGCCTCACATGGTTTCACATAGCGGCCTCAGCGCGAACGTCCGCTCGGACGTTCCCGCCCGTGTCGGCACGCCCCTCACGGGAACGTCACGCACGGCCCTGGAAGGAGAGTCTGAGTACGCTTCCCCGCGCATGCCGGCGCACCGTGACACATTTCGCGCCCCAGAGCGCCACATTCGGCTCCAGCCGGAGGGTCCGCATGGCGGTGCCGCCGTTTTTTTGGCGCAGCACCCACGAGGCTCGTGGCCCCATGCGGAAACTCCACATGTGGGTGCAGATATGGCCTCACTGGGAAGTCTGCGTGGGTGCTTCCGCCCGTGTCGGCACACCCCTCACCTGAACCCCACGCACGGTCGCAGTGGTAGAGTTTACACGCGCTTCCCCCGCGCATGTCGGCACACCCTTTCACGTGTCGCGCCCGTTCGGGAGCTCCATCGACGGCCACGCGTTGAAAGTTTGCATGGTCTCCCCCGCCATGTTCGGCATATTCCTCACATGGGCCGTGCATGGAAAGGTCCACCACCAACGTTAGTTGATGCTGGCAAGGGTCGGGTCCCTCGCCAGGCAAATGTCCCCCAACCCTCCTGCGGAAGTTGGGTCTTCGTTTTGAGTCCACAGTGCACAGCGCGCGCGCCTCCTCCTTCTCTTCCTCCTCCTTCCTCTCCTTCCTCTGCTATCTCCGTAGAGAGTTGGGTATAAGCCACTCTGGCTCAGATTGGAAACGGATTCGCCCAGGCGGGTCTCTAAACGGTTTGCCCGCGTTCAGGTTCATTTGGCATGACGCGTCGCCGTCGCTGTCGTGACTCGCCGACGCGTCGCAGTCCCCGGCGTGGCTCGCCACCACCGCAGCGGCGTGATAGAGATGCACTTCTGCGAGCGCAACAGCGGGCATTGAGTGAGGCAAAGGCCGGGGAGGGTGATATAGTGTTGAGCGCAGCGCGTTTGACGCCATTTCCACCGCCGCGGGAAATGCTGATTTCTACCAATTGCGCGTCGGAAGGTCTGGCACGAATCCAGGAGCGGGATCTGCGGGAGGGCGAGGTGCATGTGGGGCGGTGTTTGGAAGTCACCACCATCAGCGACCCGTCCGTGAGCTGCGGCATGGTCAGCGTAGTCGCAGAAGACGGTT